TCCAAGACAGAGAAGAATTTCTGGGCTTTCTGAGCATGCAGCTGAGACTGTCTTGACGGAGCCTTTAAAGGTTCTTTCCAAGGCTGGTTCTGGAGGACCTCACCAGCATCCCTTAGCAGAAGAGTGAGGAAAAGTTCTAGGCCCCAGAGACTGGATTCCAATTTGGGAGGGTCTTGGGGAATACAGTCCAGCAGGTGAGAGTCGAGCCACAAGAAAAAGCCAGAGAAAGATGCAATTCTTCCCATCGAGCATATAAATCGCAGCTCATTTCTGAGGCCTGCTCAGGAGTAAGCCGCTGCATGTTGATCTCATGCCTGCAAAAACAAAGCTCAGATTCTATGCTGGATAAAACCTAATTCCCTTTAAATACCTGATTTTCTCACTGAGCAGAGATAATACCGAAAAGCTTGCTGTGGGATGAGGAACCGTAGCCAGAGGTTCCTGTTCTGTCCCTTACTGAGAATATATACATATTTAAAATCAATCAAATAAAGCTCCTATGATGTCTGCTAAGCTTTCTGTTAGGTGAGAGACCCAGCTAACAATAACAGCGTCTGCTTCCATGACAGACCCATCTCTTTTATATAGCAGGAGCTCATGTTAAATATTGATTATTAATTCAAGGTGATGGGAGAACTGCCTTCATCAATTACAGTCAGTTACTCATCCTCTCTCCCACCACCACCACCAGAATTTTTAAAACGCTGTCTGTCATTCACACACCCCTCTTCTCCTTAAACATTTATTTGGTCCGAGTTGAGAGCATCTGTCCAGTCCAACCATTCTCTGAGTGACAGCCAATTATCCTGCAAGGGCTTTTTCAAATGGTTCCACATCACCGAAGCCTGAGACCAGAGGAGAAGTTTGGAGAAACTGCAGGATGTCCAGCTCTGCCATGCAAAGTATAATCTCATTTGGGAGGGGAAGAGATCAAGAAGGGGTCACAACAGATCCTGTCCAGAGAGATCCAAAGCCTTCTGAAAGCTTCATCGCAAACTATCTATGCCGCACACAGCAAATAAGTCGGCAGCACACTTTCCGTGTTACAAGCATGGGGGGCGGGGGTGGAATGAGGCTCTGCTGGTTTTCTGGAAGACTGCTGGTTAAATGTATAAGTGGGACCTTAAGCAGGGGCACGCGGAGACAGGAGATGGAGTGTGACATATCGTGTGCTGCCTCTTTAAAATTACATATGCGCTGGAAGCTTAAAGATGCCACCCACTGAGAATAGGCTTTAGATGCAGGCAGGCAGGCAGCCCGGCTTCTGATCCTGCTCGGCTACAAGGCAGACGCGCAATTGCACTCTGGTGGCATGCAGCATCCTGCGCTTGGCCTCCTGTGCCGTGTTTCTCACGGCACTTGGAGCACTGGAGGGAACAAACATCGGACCAGCTGAGGATCTCTTCAGAGCACCGGCAGGGCACTCGCTGTGGAACAGGTACGCCTTGCTTTCGACTTTTTGCAATGAATCCTGAGATTTTGCCAGGAAGTTGATCAAAGCATGAATGATGAGCTCTTACTTGGGAAGAATTGTGGCACACATTGATTTTGGGTTCGGGTATTTGGAGCTCTTCTTCTGCAACAGGGTAAGAGCAATTGGACATCTCCTCCTCTCCAGAAGACTGCGCTGGAATGATTCCTGTACACTATTTAGCAATGGGCTGTATCCAGTGCTAGCTGACATTTACTCCCATTCATGCCAGTAAGTAGGACTATGACTGGAAACAACCAATTCTTATGATTGGGAGGGGAGGAACAGGGTGGAAATCTGGCTGGAGTGGAACTTACTTCCAAGTAAGTCTGCTCAGGCTCTTAGACCCTTCCGCTCCAAATTCCAGAAAAAGTAGCTGCACTAACCCTATAGCAACAAAGCAGCCAGCGGCACTCTGGGACCTCAGAGCCCAGTCATTATCTTGGACAGCTGACAGAACCAGAAACCTTAATAAACCACTGAAGAGACCCTCAAGCACCATTCCATTTTCTTGTTTGTTTTCTGCTGTTTGAATAGATGATTTAGGTCAGGTCTGGCAGCATCGGGTTCCTCCAACCTGCTGTTCCCTGTTGGACTAGAACTCCCCAACCATTGACTGTGCTGGCAATGATGGGAGTTGTAGTCCAAGTCATTGGGAAGGTACCAGATTGGGGAATGCTGATGAATGTAAACGGCAAAGGTTCAGTTGCACTTCTGCTGGCTTAAGCCAGATAAGGAGATTGAACTACCTATGAAGTTTCCTTGGGGGCAAGCCATCAGCACTACAACCAGTGCCTTTGGACACTGATGCTAACTAATTGGTCCTCCACTTTGCAGCTTTTCTTTGCTGCCCCTAAACATGATAATATTGTAAAGAGCCCTTCTCTTCATGGGCGGAAGCAGCCATTCATTTGTTTTCCAGTGGTGCCACAGAGATTTGGGAAGCTGTGTAATTGCATGCACAGCTTGGACCTGGTGAACCTGGAAGTGAGGCTGCCTCCATGGATGGTTGGGAGCCTTCCCCGTGGTCCCTTTGTGCTTAAAGGAGAAATGGGCATGAAACTACTAGAGCTCACATCAGCTGCTGAATGGGAAGAAATATACAATTCCAGAACTCATGCTGCTATGGAAAGTTTTGCTTTCCCCCTTGCTGTAAATGAAGTCCATCTGAAGCAAAGTTCATGTAAATGTCCGTGCTTCACTGCCTGCCCCCTACCTGCTTCTGCAGTGCTGTTTACATGACTTGTAACCAGGGGAAACAGACTGGGCAAATAGCATCACTTCACCTGCAGTCCTCAAACTATTTCGACAGCGCAGAATTTAGTGCAACCAAATCAGCTGCAGAGGGAGGTGCTGTTCGCATGGCGCAGTTCTGCAAACACAAGAAGGGTTCTTGGGCTATATTCATAAGACATGAGCATCTGAGGGAATTAGTCCTATGCTGATCAATCCAGGCCCAGAGCTGGATTGCATGGCTGTCTGTTCTCTTTGCAGCCCATGCACACGATTTCCACAAGACAGCAGCTCTGGTGTACACCCAATGTGATGACATGCGTGGAAGTTTCCCCATGGGAGTGGGCAAAGCTTTCTTGGTGGAGTTCAAGAGGACCTCACACAAAACTTTGACTCTGCACTGTTACCCGCGAAGAGGTGAAAATCGCTTTCTGACTGCCAGTTCTTCCGTGGTGCTGCCAGGGCAGGACCTGAGGCAGAGATCCAGGGCTCCACTCAATGGAATGAGTAGGAGTGGCCTCAAACAGAGCTGGGCTACATTAGCACATTTTAAAGTACACAAAGTAATGTGCATTATTACCAGAAGACTGCAGGGCAGGCAGGGTAGAAAACCATTGAATGAAAATTGCCAATCTGCACCACGACCCAATGGTGCAGGTGAACAGGAGCCTGGAAACATTGTCCTGTGAGAAGAAGTTGAAAGAACTGGGCATGTTTAACCTGGAGAAGAGAAGACTGAGGGGGGATAGGCAGCACTTTTCAAGTATCTGAAAGGTTGTCATACAGAGGCGGGCCAGGATCTTTTTTCAATCATCCTTGAGGGCAAGTCACGTTGGCTCAAGTTACAGGAAGTCAGGTTCCAGCTGAACATCAGGAAGAACTTCCTGTTAGAGCAGTACGCCAATAGCACCAATGACTGGGAGAGGTCGTGGGCTCTCCCACACTGCAGGGATCCAGGAGGCAGTAGGACAGACATCTGCTGGGGAAGCTTTGACCTGCAGTCCTGTACTCAGCAGGGAGTTGGGCTCGAGAGCCTTATGGGCCCCTTCCAACTCTACTGTTCCATGATTCTATTATTCTATGAAATGGCAATGTACACATCACTCTTGAGTGACTGATGGATCTGGAATTCTCAATTTTGTAAGACCCACCCAAGCCTTCCCAACACTTCCAAGTTTTTTGTTGGCTACACAAGAAGAATCCTTTCTTTGAATTGCTTTTTAACAAATGGCTATGCTATTGTATTGTTAGCAACTCTGACACTTGTCTCTGTGTCCAGAATAAGGTATTTGCTGGCGTGACACCCCTTTCACTCAGTTTAATTACTTCACATTTCAAAATGCAAGACCTGCAGTTTAGGTTCTGTCTGAGCCCTTCCGAAAATGTAAAGTATTGAAGGAAAAGGGGATAATATATGCTGGGAGGTGAGATGACATATTCCATTAACTTCTCTGATATCAGTCCTTCCCAGCATGCTGCCCTCCAGATGGGTTGGACTACAGTTATGCTGGCTGGAGGATTATGGGAGTTGGAATCCCATGCATATAGAGGGCACCAAGTTGGGGAAGGCTGGACTATGTAAGTGCTGCACACGGATGGGAGAGAAGGAACAGACCAGACTAGAAAATCATTTCCTCCCTTCCTGCATCTGAAGCTTACCTCCCATATATTATTTCATCCTGCACAACAAAGAAAGAGAAAAACATGCAAAATGGGGCTGCTAGGTAAAGCATTGCATTTGGATTTGAAAACTCTCAACTGTGTATTGAAGTGCTCCTGAGGCAAAGAAATGGGAAACATTACGCCTGTGAAAGGATTTGTCAGGTTTCCTCATGCTTCCAGGTGAGGTTTTTCCCATGCAAGGTCCTTGCCTCATTCATGGAATTTTACAGGGGCGCAGCTGATGCCGCCCCCAGTTTGTAGCCCTCCTGTGTTTGGCTGCTGCTTCTGTCATTTTCCTTACCTGCAAAGAAAACAGAATCACTGCATTTTGACAGTTAGTCCTGGGAGTTCTCCCCCGGAAACCTCTTCCTTTCCAAAACCATCAGTAGCATCTCTCCAGGAGAGCTTTAGCACAGATGGAACTACTGCTGCCTAGTTCCCCATTCCCCTGATTCTGCTTTACTTCTTTTCCCATTTGAAAAGGTCAGAAAAGATGCTGTGGCCGTCAAAGATGCTGCAAGCATGATGTGCAGGAGCGGCCGCTCGCTCCCTTGGACAGCCCTTCCCGGGAGACACGGCGAAGGCAAAGCCCGAGCCAGCTGAACTGAACACGAGCGGAGCCGACAGCCGCACCATGAGGCAAGAAGGCCCTCATCCCAACAGCACACTCGGGATGAGCACCAACTTTGCCGCTATCTACAGCCACCATGGCGGGGACTTCACCTCCTACCAAAACTTCGCCTTCCCTTTCAACGTCAGCTACAGCGACTACGACCTGCCCTCGGACGAGGACGACAACGTGACCAAGACGCGCACCTACTTCGCGGCCAGGATCGTCATCGGAGTGGCTCTGGCCGGTATCATGCTGGTCTGTGGCATCGGCAACTTCATCTTCATCGCGGCGCTGGCCCGCTATAAGAAGCTGCGCAACCTCACGAACCTTCTCATTGCAAACCTGGCCGTCTCGGACTTCATTGTGGCCATCGTCTGCTGCCCCTTTGAGATGGACTACTACGTGGTGCGGCAGCTGTCCTGGGAGCATGGCCACGTGCTCTGCGCCTCCGTCAACTACTTGCGCACTGTCTCACTCTACGTCTCCACAAATGCCCTGCTGGCTATTGCTGTGGACAGGTAAGGGGGAGCATTAGAAAGCGAGTGCTCCTTTGCATGTCCCTGTTTTCAAAAATGACTCTCGCTCCCTCATCACCCAGATTAGTGGCTTGAGGACTAGTCAAGAGTCTGTGTTCCGATGCCCTTCCTCCATCTGTGGGTGGCTCCGCAGGCAAGTTCGGGAGAGCAGGGAGAGGCAGCAAGGGGCTGGAGGGTGGGCCACGGGTGCACTCTCAGTGGCAGTTCAGGCAGTGGGAACGGAAATAAAATTCAGCTGCTGTCCCTGGAAAGGAGGGGCTGCCATTTTGTTCTTTGCTGGAGGCAGGAAATTGTCTTGGACCAGCACCGTGAGTTCACTGAAAGCGACACAAGTGCTCTCTTCAAAGAGGGCTGCAAAACAGGACTGCCAGGAGAGAGCACCCGCAGCTCCATGACAGCTTGGCTGTGCTGGGTACACAAAGCGGGGAGACCCTTCTTGAAGCGAATGGCTAGGTTCAACTGAGTATTTGAGGCGCATCAAAAGCCAGGTCAATAAACAGATGGAGGGTAGAGGTCCAGCAAGAGGGCAGTTCAGAGTGGTCGTACGCAGCAGACAGGCAAAGACAAGAGACACAGCAAGAGGGAGAGTTCCGGAAGAAACCTTGCCTCTGGTGTGTGGGCAAGGTAAGCAGCTAGATACAAACATATCCCCAGTAGGAGAGTTAAGCAGAGGTCCAAAGTTCAGAAGTACCGTGTTTCACTCACAGAGCAACTTCAGGGAAACAAGGCACTGGAGCTGAATGCTTACCTAGCCAGAGCTTCCAAATGAGGTTGATCTTGTCCTGTTCACGGATCCCATCTTGCTCACCAGGAAGCCCTCACTGCTGAGGAGGCTTCCTTTGCAAACAAGTACACCTTCACGTAGGAGTACTACTGCCTTGCCTCTTGAGAGGAAGATACTCCTGGGCACTTGGTGCTCACTCTGCCTCCCTCCGCAATACTGTCCATCCCTGGGAGGTCCAGCTTCTTCTCTGAGGAGGAGTCTTCCAGCAGGGGCATATCAGCAAAGCACAGCCACGAGCCTGGGGCACAGCAGCCAGCAAATTACCACTGTGGCTTGCAATAGTTTATCATAGAGGACTTTGTTTCTCATGGGTGAGGGACAGCCCAGTATTGGCCTTCCTGGTCCAGATAGCAGGGATAATCTAGGGATAAAAGAAATGCTAGCTCTGGCTTTTGGCAGGCACCAGAATGGGGAAGGTTGTCCTACCAAAAAGCGAGATAGCAAAGCCAGCCACCTGCTTCTTAGTGACACCTGGCCAGCCATTACTTCATCTTTGCATAACAACTTATTTCTGGTAGCTCAGAAGACTGCCTGTGCAATATTCAGTGGTCCCTGAAATTACTAATATTTATATGGCAGCCCCAGAGCATACATTTGTATTTCCTTCAAATATCTATTTCTACAGGCAACTGTTGGTTAGTGGCAGAATGCTCACAATTTTTTGCAGTATGGACTAGTAAATAGGGAAGATATTAAATCTTTAATTCTTTTAGTTTTGCTTCGTTTAGGTCAACTCTACAGATACCCATATTAGGTTTCAAATGATGCTTTCTAGCCATCATCCAGAATTATTTTCTGAATGTTTATTTTTCTTTAAGACAGTAGATAACAGCTATATAGGGAAAACCTACAGATAAGATTGCACTCCTCTTTTGTAATAGTTCACATTATTTATATAGCAGAAATAGTATATATTTATATATACAATGGCCACCATTGTCCAAGATTGTAGTGCTGTATCAGAAATCATAAATTTGCTTATAAGAATCATTAAAAAGTGGTCGCAGGGAAATCTAATAGTCTGGTGCTCAACCTGACTTCCATGAAATCATTGAATAGTGGTGTCGGAAGGGGCCAAGAAGGCCATCGAGTCCAACCCCCTACAAGTGCAGGGCATTAAGTTACACCATCCCACTCAGATGGCCGCCTACTTTCTTCTTGGATGCCTGCAGTGTGGGAGAGCGCACAGCCCCTTTTGGCAGCTTGTTCCACTGTCGCACTGCTCTCACAATGAGGAAATCCTTACCTGTGCCTCGCCTGCACCTGGTGCACTCAATTTAAGTTCACTGTTCCATGTCCTACAATCTGGGATGAGTGAGAGGAGGTCTTTTCCTTCCTCTTTGTGACAGCCTTTGAGGTACCTGTACAGCGCTGTCATTTCACTTTAGATAACATCAGTGCAGCTTTGAAAAGAAGGTATGAATAGGCAGTCATTAGGTTTTAGATAGCATTCTCTTCTGAGATTAGCAGTTTATCATAAACTAAAAGAATGGATCAGAATGGATGGACATTCTGGTACTTTGAGAGCAAATTAAAGTAGGTTCCAAGCATTGATTGGAATAACTCTGTCTGTCTGTCTGTCTGTCTGTCTGTCTGTCTGTCTCTCGCTCGCTCTCTCCCTCTCTCTCTCCCTCTCTCTCTCTCTCACACACACACACACACACACACAAGGACACTCCCTTGCCTCGTATGCATCTATTACCATTTCTCCTGCAGAGCAAAGTCTTTCAATAAATTCACAAATAACTATTCACATTAAAAAGTTAACTTTCAATAAATGTATCCTCTTTAGCACTTGCAGATCTGTTCCCCCACCTCATACACACACAGAAAACTGCCTTCCAGTTCCATACACACCAAGATCTGTGGATTTTCGTCTGCTGGTCTGCTCCAGGGATACAAGGAATGTATTGGCCTCCTGTTTTCATTGGAACATAACTCCCATGATCCATTGCCATTGGCTATGCTGGTCAGGGCATGATGGGACTTGCAGTCAGAGAACATCTGGGGGCCACACACTGCCCGAAAACCTGCTCAATCACTTGCAATGTCATTAGCTGTACTTCTACCTTAAGTTGTGTAGTCAACAAGATAGCTTCCTCTTGCTTGTTTAGGACAGAACACCTCTGCCTCTCCGGCAAAGGCCAAGGTGAAAATCCATCTCTGTGCCAACCTCAAGAGTAAATGCCAAGTCAGGTCATGGAAGCAGTTTGCATGTTATTCTCTGGCTACTTGGAACTTCCTCCAGCTCCATGCCTGTGGGTCATACATAGATAAACACACACGCAGCTGGGGAAAGCAGGATAAACACACACGCATCCATCACTGGGGGGAAAGCAGGAATTGTGGACTAACAGCAGGGAACTAAGGCTGCAGTGCTGTATCTCCCTCTGTTTTCTGTGTTTCCATGTTTCTATCTCTTTACCGGGAGCAGCTCTCAGGTGGATTTAGTTCTGCATAGACATTCAGGGTGCCATAAATCTCTGTCTCTCTCGCCCAATGGCCAAGCCTCTCCGAGCGTCGTGGTACTAAAATGTTTAGCTGGCACTGGGCATGGAAGGAAGGGAAAGGGAAAGGACACTCTGGATCTGGGCAGGTGTGTTTGTGACGCTCTCAGGCGTATGGGGAGGTCTGTGGCAATGTAGCAGCAGAGCTCCAATGACGTCCATCCCGGCTGCTGGGTTCCTGCAGCCCGTATGGAGGATCAACCTGGCAGTGACCACACTTCGGAATGGAAATATGTTGCACCAGCCAGGATTTTGGCGCGTTTAGGATACTGTTGTTTTAAGTAGGATTTCCCCCCTTCTTGACCAAACGTGGTGCAATTGCATTTTGTTTCATCCTATAATGTTTACTCAGGTGCAAGTCCTGCTTCAAGTAACCTGCTTCCCACTTTATAAGTTTTCCTTCTTGGGCTTTGCACAATAGCATTGATCTTGCACTGGGTGTGAGCAACTAAGCCTGAGTTACAGCTAAGGACAGGTGAAAAGCGATGTTTGAGATCACAAGGTTGAGTCAGACCTTGTATCATTGCTCATCTTGTGCCCAGTTCCCACGTGTTCCTGTGATCATTGCCTGCTTTGTGCAAATGGGAAACTGGTGCAGACTGAACAGCGATGCAATGGGAGTTTTGCACAAAACTCTCCAAGTGCCCCCCATAGGCAAAAGAACAGATGACCCAGTCTACTGAAAAAATTGTGCGAATCAAACAGGGAGTAGGGAACAGCAAGTCTTCGACAGGCTGTGAGTATTTTCTTGTGCTTGTGTTCGGACTGGGGATGGCCCCCATGAGATCTGGATGCTAGTCCCCACTCAGCCATGAAGTTCACTGGCTGGCTGGCTGCAAGAGTTACTGGCTCTTAGCCTAACCTCGCAGGGTTGTTGTGAGGATCAAGTGGGGCTGCGTTGTGTTCTCTGGGAGAGGACAAAAACCAGGACACACATGCAATAATAAGCATGGTGAAAATATTCTTTGGCACGCAAAGATGAATTTTTCAGAAATTCCTAGTAATAACCAAGGGCCCCACCTTGGTTTTGTTTTGTTTTGTTTTGTTTTGTTTTGTTTTTTGTTTTGTAAGCAGTCCATTTTATTGTAAGCCATCCTGAGACGCTTTTGGTGGGTGGGTTAGAAAAAAATTTAATTAATAAATAAAATAATAATAAAGCTGCATCTAGTTAGTTTTATGAAACTCAGTTAGACACTGCAATTTCTGAGACAGCTGGAAACATGCCTCATGGACTATCTTAGCTCCTGCTTCCAGATTGCTCATTCTAGATTAAGGCGAATGCTTATTTACAAATGATGGTACTTATTGAAGACATTGGGGAGAGCTGGGCTCCAAACCGGTCTTCTGCCGGCATTAATAGTAAACATTGAAAGGACAGCTGTCTCTCCTCTGCCCAAAGCCATGCTGTGTGAAAAAAAGCTGCACGCCCTGTGCTAAATTCTCAGGGTCTTCCTTCCTGTTCAAAGGAACTCCCCAACTGGCTTACTTTCACAAAAGCTATTAGAAGCCAGCGAAAACCTTTCGCCTTTGTCCAGCTCTGCAAATGTGAACACATTCTCAGTTCTTAGAGACAAAAAGGGTTATCTCTAAGAAAACAAATGGGCCCAGAGGGCAAGACAGAATGTGCAATACTGTTCTGTCGCAGTATCTGGGCAACCGGGTGGCAGGCAAGATCAAGATTCTTTTGCTGATTACAAGCGCTGAGAAGAGTTAACTCAGTACCATTAAGAGGCAGCCTGGGAGAGCTCTGAGTGCTGTAAAGTATGTTCTCTTGATTTGATACAGAACAAGAACATCACTAAAGTAACTGGACAGGGACAGACTGTGATGACCTGCTGCTGTAATGGTATCCTGAAATCTGGAGGGGGCACAGAGCCACTGTGGCGTAGTGGTTAAGAGTGCAGACCTGGGACTCAGGCGACCTGGGTTCTAGTCCCAGCTCAGCCATGGAGCCAACTGGGTGACTTTGGGCCAGTCGCAGGCTCTCAGCCCAACCTACCTCGCAGTGTTGTTGGGAGGACAGGACTGAGAGGAAGTGGGAAATTAGGTAAGCCACCCTGAGTTCTTTGGAAGGAAAGAAGGTGTGGTATAAATATAATGAATAAAATAAATAAAACAAATATTATACTGGAATCTACTATTTAAGCAAAAGGACCAGACAAAGCAAAATTAGTTGACTATATGAAAAATAAACCAATCCATAGGTAATCTGATGTTCACGATATAAGAAAAATGCCAAAAGAAAATAAGAAGCCTAAGAAAAGATAGATATATGATATAAGAAAAATGCCAAGATCCATAATATTGTAATATGAGGTAAAAGGGTAGGAAAAGGGCCTTCTTGGTGGTTGCATCCCATTCATGCTTCCCAGAGGCGTAAGCCCCGTGCCTTCACTGTTATCTTATCGGCACCAGGCAAAGACAGTTTTATTTACCAAACATTTTAAGAACAGTTGAATTAATATTGTATATTTTTAAGAAATGTTAATGATTTAACATTTGATTAAATGATTTAATATTAAATCATTAAATGTTAAATCATTTAATAATTTTGTTTTATCACTGCTGTACTCGAGGTAATTGTATTAACTGGTGTAGCTATCTGTTGGGTATATTGCATTTCATTGTATTTTATGGATTTTCATTGTATTGTATTTTATTGCATTAATTTTAAGTTTAATTTTTATTGTGATATACTGTGCACTGCCCAGATTGCCCCAAAGGGCTATGGGAACAGTTTATAAATAAATACATGTTTTCATTAGGCAAGCCAAAAGTTGACAAGATACGTGCAAACCGTCTAGATTTCTTGATCAAGGGAGATGTTACGATTAGCAGGGAGTGAGGAATAGGGGAGACTAAAACCCTGGCCTGGTAGCCAGGTCACTGGGACTGTATGTTGGGTGTTCCAAGAAGCAAGGGGAGGTCAGAGGGATCTGAAGGCATCCATTCATGGGATGGTTAAAGGCTGGACCTGCAGCTGCCCTTAGGATTGCTGAGTACCAGAAAGGGGGAATGTGTAAGTATCAAATCATCCGCAGTGCACACATAGAATCTAGGAGCTGCTCAGACTCCTTCCTTGAATAAAGCGCCTTGGTCCCTTGCAGTCTTCATACGAACCAAGCTGTTGGTGATTTTCAATTCTTTACTGCATTAAAATTGTCAATAGAAGCCAAATTGGGTAGCTTGGCCTCATAGCTGGAGGAGGTGAATCTCATAGGATACAGTCCCAGCTTCAGGAGATACTAGGCAGAACATGAATTGGCCATGTCAGCCCCGTGGCCTGGCATCTCCCAATGCTCTGCTTTTTCCTAATCTGGTTCCGCAGAAGCATCCTGATAAGTTGCACTCTGGTGCTATGCTTTGCAGCATCAGCAGAGATGCTCTTAGGACCAGATAATTGAAGGGCACTGCAGCTGCACCAGTTTTAAGATTAGCATATCAGCTACTCTCAGCAATGTTGCACTGACATTTTGGCAGTTCCTCAACATGGATTCCAGGGATGGGGGGGGTGTTACTTTAAGAAGGGCTTACCATTTTTGCCCAGTGTCCAGTAAATTTGCAAAATGTGGCATAATTACAGGACATCCTAACCCAACTTTCGAAACAATTGCCTTTTGCAGGTACCTTGCTATTGTTCATCCTCTGAAGCCGCGGATGAATTACCAAACAGCCACCTTCCTCATTGTGGTGGTCTGGATTGTATCCCTGATCGTTGCCATACCATCGGCCTATTTTGCCACTGAAACTGTATTGTTCATGATCAAAAACCAAAAGAAAATTTTCTGTGGCCAGATTTGGCCAGTGGACCAGCAAATATACTACAAATCCTATTTCCTTTTCATCTTCGGCATCGAGTTTGTCGGGCCCGTTTTCACCATGACCCTTTGCTACGCCAGGATCTCGCGTGAGCTGTGGTTTAAAACTGTGCCAGGCTATCAGACCGAACAGATCAGGAAGAGGCTCCGCTGCAGAAGGAAAACCGTGCTGGTGCTCATGTGCATCTTGACAGCCTACGTCGTCTGCTGGGCACCGTTCTATGGCTTCACAATCGTCCGCGACTTCTTCCCCACCGTCTTCGTGAAGGAGAAGCATTACCTGACCGCCTTCTACATCGTCGAGTGCATTGCCATGAGCAACAGCATGATCAACACCATGTGCTTTGTGACAGTAAAGAACAGCACCATGAAGTATTTCAAGAAGATCATGCTCCTCAGGTGGAGGTCCACCTACCACGGATCCAAGTCCAGTGTGGATATGGACATCAGAACAAGTGCAATGCCTGTCACAGAAGAGGTGGACTGCATCAGGCTCAAGTGAGTCTTGCCCCACGTCTCCAGGCCACAAAGCTCCTTTTCGGCGCGTGGCTGTGTTCATCGGTTACTTTCCCAGTGCGTATCAAAATCGACCAGGGAAGGTGCCGCAGAGCAGAGCATCGTCTGAACAAGGACAATCAAATGTTCCGCTAGGCACTGGAAAATAAAACAGTTTTTTTCTACAGTCTCTGCATTTTGAGATGAAACCGTTTCACTCACATGAAATTATGATATTTATGCCTGGATTTCTGGTAGAGAGAGATCTTAATCTAGGAAAATGGGGTTCTTCTTTGACTCTCCTCAAAATTGCCACTGTTCCTTACCTATCCTGAGGATCAATGCATGCTAACCTATTGCTTGTATAAGACAGACAAAAGACAAGATCAGTATCTTGCTGAGTGATAAGTTCCTTCCTGATGGACATGAGAATTTCTGGTTCTAGGCTATCCTTCAGTACAGATAAATCTCTCCCATAATATTATTCCCTGTTCAGTAATGCTGTCTTACCGCAGAAGTCTTGTAGTCCTTTGATGTCTGTCCACAGTGGATGTATGGGTGGAACATGACTTAACTCATCTCGTATGCTTGATGAATGGAGCAACTAGGCAATCAGTCCTTTGACATTTCTTAAATCTTCAGTGATGGATGCAATTCTAACTTGTATGTTCATGCAGTGCTCTTAGAGAGTTGGATCTCTAAGTACGTTAATCCCATGCTTAAGGTTTCACTACTATAATAATCAATGTCGAATAGGTAGGACTTGTCTATTGTTCAAAGCTGGTTAACTTGTATGATATTACAAGATAGCTAAGCACACGGAGGTCCGTTTGACCTTCCAGTCCTGGCCTGGCACCTGGGGATGTACTCATGCAGAGCATGTGTTCTGTCAGCTGAGCTATGGTCTACTGATTCCTTCATCTAATGCAGTGCTCAAATTATTGGGAGTGAGGTCTGGAAGCCCTAAACGGAGTCCACAAGTCCTGTTTGGAAACTCCCTCCAGTTTTAGCCAATGTCCCCTATTCCCTTCTCAATCCGGCAGCAAGGAGGCTATGAAGAGTAAGGGGACAAGGTTTTAACATGTCACATTCTTGTGCGTCTCCTTGATAGCTTTGCAGCAACTAAGACATTACAAAAGCATTAATAATAATTAAGCAACAGCACTTAGAGCAGGGCGTGTAGGATTTTTGAAACAATTCTTGCAGGTGCGCAGACCTGGAGAAAAATAACAATGGTTCATCAATGAGGATGCACACTGATTATTCTGGGACTGAAAATCGATCCCTGGATAGAGGCCATTCATGGGATGAATGTGAATTGAAAGGCGCCATAGCTCAGAGGTATAAACAGCGCAGAGGTTTGGCATGCAACAGGCTCAGTCCATGAAAGCTACACTTAACATGCATCAGGTTGCCTGGGGCATGCAAATATTTTGGCTTCTGTGAGCCCCACAAATAACATAGCCAAGTGTGCGTGACATTGGTGGCTGGAGGCCAATGAGATAACCTGTCCTGAGATTTGTACTTCTTCCCATTAGCAGCTGAAGGCACAAATATGGGGTGGCCCCATTCTATCCAAGCTTGTGAGATTAAACTCAAATTATTGACTTCCCTACTGGTTGACAGGCTTCCAGATCCAGATCTCTTCCTTCCCAGCTTGGAATGTACTTTTCTGTGTTGCTTCTGCATCACACACAAACTTTATTTATTTTATTTGCATGATTGCTTTTATATCCCAGCTTTTTCCCACTTGCAAGAAACCCAAGGCAGCTTTCACAGTCCTTCCCTCCTTTCATAGGAAAGGTTGAGAGTCAGTGACAGGTCCAAAGTACTCTTTTGAGCTCCATGGTTGAATGAGGACTAGAAACTTGATTGTCTGAGCTCCAGCCCAAGGTTCAAAATACTATATCACAATGTATCTATGTACAACTTTTTACATTAAAGCACAGCATTAACAAACCAAAACATAGAATTTAATCAGAAAAAAAGTTTTGGCCTACCCTACCACAATATTCTAAAATTAAATTTATTACTAAAATATTTACTTTAGATAAATGTTCTCTAAAAAGTAAAAACTCAAAGCAAACACCCACTTATATTAATTCAGTCCATCTGACAAGTGACTAAAGTTTCTAGAGCATTATTTTTATTAGATTATTTTTAGGACTCAATTAAAATGCGAGTGCTTCCGTTGGTGTGCTCTTGCATCCGTGTGAGTGGGGAACAGAAAGAATGCTGCAAAAGTGGGTGCTAAGCGCAAGCTCATTCAGAGGAAAGGTATCGCTCGCGTTCCGTGTTGGCTTTGTGACATCTTCATATAGCAATGCCTGACTGGCCACATGACCTTGTGACGTCATTGCATTCCGGTCATGATCCCACTTTGTCTGGACAAAGGTGCTCTTTTCCAAACCTGCTGTTGAAGCATTGCCCATTGATGAGCAAGCAGTCCTCAAACAGGAAGGAATGAGTAAAGAGGAGGGCGCTAAAAATGTTGATGGCTGCACATTCGTGTGGCCCCAGCTAGTTCAACATGAACCCAAAAGACTTCTCTCTCCATAGGTCCTCCAAACACAGTAAACAATTACTCGGGTTGTGAAAACATTAGTAAATTGTGAACCGCTGTGATTTTAAGAGTATTTTAAGGTCTTTGTACTCCACATTTACTCAGAATCATCCCACTGAATCTAATGCAGGGTCGGGCGATGTGATGTGATCCCCAAGCTGATTTGGCCTGTAACTCCTATCATCATTGGCTATGATGGCTCGGGCTGATGGATGTCCTAGTGTTAAGCATCTGGAGGCCATCAGTGGCCCACCTCTGGTCTAATACACCTAATGCAGAGTACAAGTGGATAGGAAGGCATGTGTCCTTAGCTGCTCCAGTGTAGGCTTTGAGTTGAGCAGAGCATGGTCCGTGCCTCCCATTCTGACGGCCTTGGTGCAACCTCCTAAAATCCTGTCCCGCTTCTGATGACTGTGCTGCTCCATGCCCGCTCCTCAGCGAATCCCCGTGGTTGTATCAGATCGTAGGCGCCAAGGCCGTTTCTCATTCAGAACCAGGGCAGTCTTGCTTTGCTCATTAGGATCCGAAGGCTTCTGCACTGTACTGCTGCAATGCTCATCATTCTGTAAAGCGTGCGACGGTCTCCAAGCTCTGAAGTCAGCAGAGCTTTTGTTACCCGGTTCTTCTGTCAATGTTTGAATTTTTGTGAGAAACAAAGCTCACATTGCTTAATAAAATGCTATCACAACCCGAGAGAAGCAGCTCTGCAAACTGTTCTTGAGGGAGTGCTTTGTGGAGTGGAGATGGGACTGACTGGGGAGGGATTGGACTCAGCTGTATGCATTTGCCACATTTTCCCTGCAGAAAGAATCCGTGACCAGGAAATCTGGAGGGATTTTTCCTTTTCTGCATTGCGCTGAGTTGTGTTATGTCTTGTTTCTAGGAGCTGCTATAAACAGCCCGGACAGCTTTGGTTATTGGGCAGTAGAGAAAATTTAAAAAATAATTTTTATTTATTTATTTCTTGCTCAGCACCAGCATCCCTTCTACAGGAAGGCTTGCAGAGCAGTTTGTCTGCTCTTGCAGGAATGTTGCCTGCTGCTACCGACACGACGGAGGGACTCCAGGGGTGCAACTCGGCCCATGCTCGCAGGGATGCGGTGGCGGTACTTTTTATCAGCTGGGCTGCTGATGTCAAGGGCAGCCCTCGTCAGAATGCTCTGTTCCTGCAATCTTCCCAGTTGCTGGGTGGGGTGGGGGGAATCAATTTTCCAGCCATCATATTTATTTTATTATTTATCGCATCTATGGTCCCTTGTTGTAATGTGAACTATTTGGGGGACTGCTTGGTCTTAAAGTGGGTAATTGAGGCCCATTAGCTTTGCAATATCTGCTTCTGCTGGAACTGGTTTGTTGATAGGGATCCATGCAACTGCCTGCATTTCTGAACCCTCTTCGGGGACGTGGCTGTGGGGACCATCACACTAAGCCCATGAGCCCCAAGAGTTGCCACTACGCCACTGGAGGACTCATCCCGACTCTGACAGTGGAGAAGGAATACAATGGCATCTCCCTGTCCCCGCTTCTAAAATCATGCAGCAGGAAACAAAAGAGGAGGAGGAGGAGGAGGAAGCAGACAGTCCTCATTGCAATGGTAGATGCTAGAAGAACCTCAAGGTTATTCTGTTGCAGCAACAAAGAGTTATGTAGTCCCTTGGAGAGAAATTTATTGCATCAGATCAATTAAATCATAAGATCTAATGGATTGTAGGGCATTTTGTCAGATGCACAAAATTTTAACCTCAAGGCTGTGTGTGTACGCACTTCCACACAAGGGTGTAGGAACAGGAAGCGTAAACAGGAGAACTGACAGCCCATCGAACCCCAGAGCTCCAGTCTGTCACAATTGTACATATGCAAGAGACCCCAGGCACCATTCACAGCAGAATTTCTGGGTGATCATAAAACTATCTTCCTGGTTTCGATGGGTTAACTAAGGTGCAGTAGTGGGGGAAGGAAGCACTGACTCCATCAAGGCCAAGGCAAATAAAATTGAACTTCGTGATAAACCTTTATAATCAAAGATAGCCATACTGAGCCATGAGAAAAATATCTCTGATCTGCAGCTGTGTGATGCCTCTATTTGGGCCAACCAAAATGCAACATTACAGCAGAGGTGTGCAGAATTGATTAAAACAATGCAGCCCAAATTATGTCTGTTGCCATCTCACAATCTGCCACAAAAACTGAACAAGAGGAAGTGCAGGAATTGCAGAACTGTTATTTATTGATTAGATTTTTAATCTGACCAATAAAAATGTACCCTGGGTGGATTACAGTTTTCCAGGTGGGGGGATTCCACGATTAAAGGCAGCCTAGAATATGATTATAGATAAATCAGCTAAATAACGTATTGCCTTACCTATCTACCTATTCAAAATTAGATAGATGGATAGATTGATAGGTAGGTAGGTAGATACTATGGGTTAAGACCCATGGCAGCT